CTGGGAAGTTTGGAGGCCTTTAAACTCAACTCATTAGCACCTCTAGTAATATATTTACTGAGAAAAATGGTGACGTGTTCAATACTTATTTTACCCGCTTGTATGGTTCAAGCTGCTTTGGTTGGTAAAGCTTGTGTGAAACGCTCTGGGTGTCTGTCTCCATGATGAGGGGTCTTTCTGTCTGAAGAAGGCTGARGTGGGTTGATGAGCCTCAGGCTCTGCACCTGATCTGCTCTGTAAATGTCTTATTTTCAGCAGTGACCCCTACATTTGTAGAAGTTCGAACGTGTTTGTCTTCGTTTTAAATATCACTGTGTCCTTCACCTCCTGTTCTCCCCGACCAATCACCTGCCTCCGTCTGGTCGCCACAGGCCATCGACAAAGAGCGACCAGAGAAGTACAGGAAGCTCCAGGAGGCGACGCGCACGGCGCAGACCCTCGTCGAGCAAGGTATGCACACAGCCCCGTCTGTCCCCATGGCAACGCCTCCACCTGTCCCACCCTCTCTCCTCGTCTCCATAGAAACACCGACAGAGACACGCAGGAAGAGAAAGGGACAGAGATGTATGTGTGTGTGTCCTCACCTCTGTCCTTGTGTAATTCTTGGCATTCCTGAAAGCAGAGAAAAAGCTAGATTTCTACTTTCCTCTTGGTGTTTGTATGTGTGGTAACCTTCAGCCAGAACAAAACACTGTTGAAACATGAAGTCAGGGTTATGGTAATATTTCACATTTAAAACACTGCTTATAAAACTTCTCAGGCTTTTTAACATCGACAAACAGAATTTATAAAGCCTTGAAAAGTTGTGTTTAACTCTGTGGCTTGATAAAGAAAATAAATCAGAGCTCATAGATAAACTGTGACGAGCTTCACCAAACATCAGCTGTGGTTTAATAAAAAAAACATTTATCAGATTAGTGATGTGAAACAGATCCCTGACACGAGATCATTCTGGAGATAATAATGAAGATGATGGTGACTAAAACACAGAGTCAAGGCTAAAAATCTATAATGTGTTAAAATAAAATTATATTTTGTTTTAGTTTCTKTGGGTTGAAATGATCAGTCATGATGTTTAGTAAATTAGCTCTGGAGRCAACCTGAAGTTTAAAAAGGCTGAAGCTGGGAGAGCTGTTGAGACTATCCAACAGAAAAATTCACTCTTTCTGATGAAAGTTGAAAATTTGATCATACCAGATCAGGGGCGCCTAAATGTTTTACACAAGAGGGACAAAATGAGAKTTTATGGCTGCGGGCCAAATGCAGTAATATAATACATGAAATACAAATACTATTTTAGTAAAGTCCTTTATTTTTAACGTTAAGCTAGCAGCCAGTGTGGTGGCCTGCTTTAGTTTTAGTCTGTGCTATAGGAGAAAATCTGCCATACGCTTAAGTAGCAAAGGCTCATGGGAAAACTTCATAAATTGATAAAATCTGAGTTTTTCTGGCCTTATAAAGTGTGCAAAACCACATGTGGTTAAATCTAATGTAAATATCACTTATTTGTATTTCATGTTTCATGTTTAATCTTAATATATCAAAGATAAAATCAGTGCCATGAGTGAAATCTATCTGCACTGGACCAGTGAATGAAAAGACTAAGTGGAAATATTGTTTCTACATATGACAACAGGTTACAACCTAGTAATTATTCATCTGCTGGTGGGCCAAATCAAATGGCTTTGGTGAGACAAATTTGGGCCGTGGGCCCCACTTTGGTCACCTCTGTACTGGATATTAAATCTTGGTAATCAGACAGTTAGGAGAACAGAGTCAGGTAGAGGAGCTGCTGCAGCCAAAATGTATCTGTAGTTCCTTCAACCCCAGTAGACTGAGGCTGTGTGTTAGTTCAGGGGTTGCAGCCGCTGTGGGCCACTTCCATCACTGGCCCACACTGCAGGCTGTCCCATTTTGTGGGCACCTACTCACGCAGCCTACGAAGGCAGGTGACAAACCCAGAAAGTGTAGCCTACGCCTGAGTATCCTGTGGAGCTGAAGACATCCCAGGATTCATTGAGCAGTCAGTGATCTAAACAGAAAACTGAAGATGGCATCTTGTTTTTTTACAGTGCAGTTTGTTCGTCACAGACCAAACATTTTGTTTTTTCATGTGAGTTTAGTAACTTGCCTGATGACAAGTTTTGCTGCAATTAGATGTTAAATAAAATGCAGTTACAAGTACTGACATTGGAACTAAACCCAATTTATCAATGCTTTTATTTATTTATGTMTAATGATTTTTTATTAATATTGTATTTTGTTTTATACAGTGGAAAAACAACCAAAGGCATGTGATATAAAACGAATCACAATGGTAACAGGGCGGTGCGTGGTCATGTACATCATCAGTAGACCAGACCGTCTTATTTCCTAGCCATTTATGCAGCCGACACTGGTGGTCTACGGCTACACAGACCACAGTTTGTGTGGGCTGCAACCACCGAACTGAGACAGCAATGATCTCACTCAGCTCTGTAAGGTGCGTGGCGTTGGCGTGAAGTGCTACATGTGTAAGAGGATCATTTTCGTTTTCCTGCCTAATGGTAGGCTGGTAAAAACCAGACCCTTGTCCTTCAGTTTGCTTGATACGAGGGTCTGGAGTCTCAGCTACAGAGAAGAGATTCTTCCTGGAGGCGTGGCCTCTGCCTGAAGTTTAAAATTGTTGGAGCTGTTGGCCGCGACATATGTGTGCCAGCTCCACTGTGAAGGAGGCTAAGCTAAGAAGCTAACTGGAAATGGCGTGCGCTGTAAACAACCCTACTGAGAGGAGAGAAGTACCTAGCTGAACAAGATGGCTGTAAATGAGAATTTGCTGCTTTGTCAGACAAATTTAATTTAATTTGGAAGCCTTATCAACACGGACTGGCTTCATTCACTTCCTCCACTGCRGTATGCTAAAATAACACTGAAAACACTGCACAGAAAATCAACGTCTTTCAAAACTCCGCCTTCTGTTCTCTGATTGGCCCAAATGAAATGCTCCTGAAGAAATCCTTGTTTATGGGAGAAATCCCAGACGGAGCAGAGAAGGGAAACTAGAATTGAGCTGAACTGCATAGGAAGGCAAGGACCAAGCTAGCCTACTGGTAGCAGAACTAATGGGTTTTATCGTTAGCCAAAATGCTAGTCTGAATCTGGTAATCAAAAGATAGCTCCACTGTTAGCTGTTAGCTGACCAATTAGCATTCACTAAATTAGGTTTTGTAAACTTTAGGTCTGCTAACAGCTAACAAGCTAACATCAGCAGGTTTGTGTCAGTCCCACCAGTCTTCAGCTGGAAGGAGACACAGACTGAGAGAGAGTTGTCTTGGCAGTTAGTGTTAGTTTCTGCTAATTTTTACTTGTTTAGCGTTAGTGAAGCTATATATTTTAATTACCGGATCATGAGTTAACATGGTTGTTTGTCATGTGTAGACCAGTTGATGTCTTGAGTTCTCCTCTTTTTGTTTCTGTTCCTAAACATCTCCTTCCAGAGGGCAGCCGTGCAGATGACATTGCTCAGGCGGCAGATCAGCTGAACCAGCGCTGGGTGGGTTTCTGCACCCTGTTGGCAGACAGGCTGACTTGGCTGGCTTACCAGACAAAGGTACACACTTGCATTGCATGGACATGTGGAGAAATGCAGCTGTGAAACTTTTATCCACCAATTTTAACCATCATATTGTGGCAGCCAAAAACAGACATTTCACCAAACCTGGAAATGTCAGAAGAAGTTTTTTTCTTGGCCGTTTTGTTTAGCCTAGGGGATGCTCTTTGAGATATTAACCCTTTTATGTCAGGCACACCAAGTTTCCCTAAAATGGACATTTCCTAATGTCCTTGCAAGGTAAGTTCCAGAACAATGAAATTGGGTTTTTTTAAATTTCCTTTTACTTCTTACATTTATTTAGGCAWATGTTCTTTGTATGTGAACCCCTTGTCGTCTGCCATCATGGCGGGATAGGCCTACTTGAAAAACACACTTGTATGGCCTCCGAGTTTAAATCCAAATGGTTATTAAAACAAAAAAATCATTTGTATGCAAGAAAAATATGGAAAACTGCAGAAGTCATGAAAAACTGATTATTTCTCTTCAGAGAGAACTATACTAAAAAAAGTCAAGACAATGAKTGGCCATTGCACACACATTTGTAGAAGCTGGTGACACAAATGTTTACGACTTCAAATGCTTTGTTGGCAAGTGAGAAAAACACAAGAGATGTTCTTTCATGTGACCTAGTACCAGTACCAACTTCAGTGTTTACAAATCATGGAAGGCGAATTCCAAAAGATGAATCAGCTCTGAAGAAAGCACTTGACATGGAGGTATCTAGCAGACATGCTGGAGCTGCTGATGTCACAATCATCAAAGGGTCAACCCTACTGTGGACCATTAATTGGCTAACAGATACTGTAGTTTCAGATTACATCAGTAATGTAAAAAAAAGTGGCTTAATACCTAGTGAACAGTAATGTCTATCTTGTATTTYACAGGTATTATGACTACAGTATAAAATCCGTTGCAAAAGTTGGCTTGGTGTCATCCAAATGCATCATTTGTCATTAACAGCAAAGCTACCAACCCAAAAGATTGTCTTTTCCAAGGTTGAAACCAAAAAACAGAATAATCAGAATAATTTTCATTGGTTTAACTAATGATGGACTGTTTCATACCCAAAACACAGAGAACCACAGTCAGTAATCACTGAAGAAGATTCATACCCTCCCTCTTAAATAACGGGAGAACGCACCAGCATTAGGAATGATATGAGTCTCGTTCATAAGACAGCTCAGTCCAGGACTGACAGGTGTTCTGTCCTCCTTGGATCATTKAAAAAAAACGCAAAGYCAAMTTGGTAACYTGAGTCTGCCTCTGATGCCCCTCTGAGCCCCCAATRGAGGTAGTATCTGAGCCGGGAAGACCCASTTGTGAAAAAGCAAACCGCAGTCCTGCGCTCAGAAAATGATAATGAGCTGATAACATCAGTGAGTGACCGCAGGATTGATCAACAAACAGATTTATTACAGAGGAGATAGGCTATATTAAAAATGACACAAAACAACAACTTTGTTATTTAACGTCAGAGCTTGTAGGATGTTAATAAAACAGATATTGTTGGTTATTTGTTAAAATTAGTCTTACTTTCAACAGGTTACACATTTTGATGTGTCTGATCTTAAAGGGTTAAAATCTAGGAAGGCTCGAGGGTTATGGACTGTCACCCTCCTGAATCTTGAAGTTATGTACAGGCTAACAGAAATAACATTAATAAAAACTTCATCCGGCATTTCAAGGRTCATCCATGTGGCTCCCAGACTGTCATACAGAAATGTGTATGTGGGTTACAGAGGTAGCAGGTCCGAGACAAGAACCAAGACATTTCTTCATCCTCCAGCTCCTACTGAGAAATCCCAAAGTGGTTTTCTGAGTTGATGTATAATCTCTCCAGGAAATCTTCCAAATGGGACATGCTCAGAGAGTCTCAGGAGGGAAGCTTCCAGGAGGCGTCTAATCAAATACATCAACCTGTGGACTTATCTCAGGAAGCAAAGCTGCTCACCCTAGCCTCATTCATAAGACAGCTCAGTGCAGGACTGATGCGTGTTCTGTCCTCCTCCAAGCATTCAGAAGAAACACGGAGGTAGAAAGGGATACTAACACCTTTTATAACAAAAGTTATAAGGAAATTATTTATCACGGGTTCTCTTATTTTAAGGGATTTGATTTGATTTGATTTATTTATTTAACAGGAAAAGGTTACTAAAAATCAAGCCTGACTCAGCATAATTGCTGTTTTACAGCAGGTTCCTGTTCTGCAGCACATAAAACACTCAGAAATACAGCATCACAATCACATCATTATACACCATAGACACAAAGACAAACAAGCATACCAAATTTCAGGAAGGCAGCATTTGCAAAATAGGACGTCTAAATATGAGCACAACAAAAAGTGTCCAGCAGATGGCAGACAAGATTCTTCTTAAAGGGCTGTAGTTTTGAAATGGACTTTATGTTTTGAGGAATGTCATTTCATGCTTTAGTATAAACATAGAAGAAAGACCTCTGGCCGTAACAGTTTTTAAAAGTTGATAATATCAGTTGTCCTTTTGTAACAGATCTAGTTGAATGACCACTTCCAGAATTTAATTTGGGCAACAATGCACAGAGAGTTCCATAATTGGCACCTTGGAAGATCTGAAAATATAAATTAATACCACTATACAAAACATAATTCTGAAAAGTCAAGGCATCAGACAATGAAAGAACTGTACAGTGATGAGTCCAACCAGGAAGTTTTTTATGAATTTTGTAGGCCCTGTTGTAGAGCCTAACTATGGGTTCTAAGATTTCATTTGTTGTAAGAGACCAAACAGGTAAACAGTACGACAGGAAACATCTCTTCTGTMCAAAGTGAATGACACACACAATAAGTGAATATAACTCAGRYYATTTTAWTTGATCCATCAACAAATGCAATYATTTATTTACATAAATCAAACAAATTATGAGTGGACATCATTATTGTGAGCAATCAATTTTCCTATAAAAGGTTTAAGAATTAACAACAACATAAGCACGCGTCCGAGCCTATTAATTATTAATACGACAARTTCAGAAACAGCAAAACGTCAGGCTTTCGATGTAAAACAAACCAGAACAATTGCAGGTACTTAACTTAGGTTTTTGGCAAGGCAGGGTAGTTTAAGAAAGGAGGAAAGTAAGATATTAGTTCTTTAACGTTATCTTAACCAGAAGAGCAAGGCGTCATCAACTCTGCATCAGCCAGAACCAGGAATGTTAGTAACAAGGCAGCTTTTACCTTGTGATGACAGGTAGAATGGAGGTTGGAAGAGTGGGCAGATAACTTTTACAGCTTCATACTCGCTCAGACTCTCCGGGCAGGTACTTTTCAACGCCAGTCCGAAACTCCGCATCAGCCGTAACGGAGAGGCAAGGCTCACTGGGTCCCATTTCAAATTAAAATCCCTTCCCAGAGGAAGGTTCCAAACAAATGGCTTGGTAGATCCTCTAAGCTCATGTTTTGGGACAAGACTGGTGTTATCTTGTTCCCAGCTTGCGTAGATTCCCCATTGGCATCTGGGTTTGAATCAACGTCGCCAAAGCGCTGTTTCCCCGCAAGGAGAAAACAGCGGTTCCATGTTGGTTAACGGAAGTGTGTCTGTGTTCCTAAAATCTGTAAAATGAGTTGATTCAGTGTGTTTGTGCGTTTAATAGACAAGGAAGACGTCAGTGCTGCTGGAGATTTATTACGGAGGGAAATTTAAAAATTACACAGAAAAGCAACTGTGTAGTTTAAAAAATATTGAGCCACGGGTTCGCTATAATGAGC